TTTCCTTTTCTCGGTTTCTCGACTTTCCAATTTTTCAATTCCTCAATTTTTCGATTTTTGAACTTTTTAACTTTTCGATTTTTCAGGTTTTTGATATTCCAATGTTTTCAATTTTTAAAATTTTCGGCTTTTCGATTTCTCGACTTTTCAGCTTTTCGGTTCTTCGATTCTTCGATTTATCAATTTTTCAATATTTTTTTATTTTTCTACACGTATTTAAATTCCATTTTTCCGTCTGTACCTCTTCGATTTTTCAATTTTTTGAGTTTCGGTTTCTCGATCTTTCAATTTTTCGACTTTTCGATTTCTCGATCTTTTGATGTTTCTACTTTTCAATGTTTCAATTTTTCAATTCTTGGATGATTCGGTATTTCGATTTTACCGGTTTTTCGATTTTGCTATTTTGCGGATTTTCGATTTTTGTAATTTTTCGATGTTTCGATTTTTTAATTATTGGCCCTTTCAAATTTTCGATTTTTCGATTTCTTGATTCCTCGATTTTGTACTTTTTCAATGTCTAAAAAGTTGTTATTTTTCGATTTTTCAATTGTCCGGTTCTCAAATTTTAAAATTTTTTAGTTTTTCGATTTCTGGAGTTATTGAGATTTCGATTTTTCGATTTTTCAATTGTTCAATTTCCCGATTTATCGATTTTTCATTTTTTCGGTTTTTTTAATTTCAAATTCATCGATTTTTCAAGTATTGATTTTAGATTTTATGGTATTTCAATTTCTCGATGTTTCGATTTCCCAGTTTTTCGATTCAATTCGACTTCGATTTTCCCATTTTTCGATGTTTTCGATTTTTTTATTCAATTTTTTTATTCAGTTTTTCGATTTCTCAACTTCTCAATGCTTCGAGTTCTCGTCGTCTGGATTTCTCGATTTTTCAGGTTTTCAATTCTTCAATATTTCGATTTTTTAATTTTTAAACTTCTCGAATTTTCAGGTTTTTGATATTTAAAATTTTCGATTTTTAAAATTTTCGATATCTCAATTTTGTACATTTTCGAGCTTTCAGTTTTTCGATTTTTGATATTTCTGTTCAACGATCTTTCAATTTCCCGGTTTGCCGATTTTTCACTTTTTCGATTTATCGATTTTTTTTTATATTATTTCCCAAATTAAAATTTTTTATGTTATTTCGTTTCTTAGATTGTCCTGTTTTCGACTACTTAACTTTTCGATTTATCGGTCTTTTGATATTTTGATTTTTCAGTGTTGCAATTCTTCGATACTTCGATGTTTCCATTTCCCAGTTTTCTAATTTTCTACTTTTCGGATTGTCTATTTTTGGAGTTTCCAAATTTTCGATTATTCGATTTCTCGATTAATCGATTTTTCGACTTTTTAATTTTCCCATTTCTCGATTTTTTAATTTTTTGATTTTCAATTTTTCAATTTTTAAAATTTTCAGTTTTTCGGTTCTTCGACTTTTCAGTTTTTCAATTTTTCAATGAATCAATTTTTCTATATTTCATTTGTGGAAGTTTTCAGTATGTATTTTAATTCTTCAATTTTTCAATTTTTCGTTTTGATTTTTCGATTTCGTGATTCCTCGATTTTTTGCTTTTTCAAATTGTTTAAAATTTTGATTTTTCGACTTTTCATTTGTTCGATTGTTAAATTTTTCCGTTTTTAAGTTTTTCGATTTCTGGATTTATAGAGATGTTTCGGTTTTTCGATTGTTTAATTTCCCAATTTATGGATTTTTCACTTTTTCGATTTCTTAAATCTTAAATTTATGCTATTTCTATTTCTCGAGTTTTCGACTTCTCGACTTTTCGACTTCTCGATGTTTCAATTTTCCAATTTTTCGATTTTTTAAATTATGGATTTTATGATTTCTCGATTTCTACTTCTTTTTTATTTTTCAAATTTTAGATTTTTCTATTTTAATGTTTAGATATCCCTACTTTTTTTAATTTGCTATTTACTACTTAAATTTTTCGATTTTTCGAATTTTCGATTTCTTGATATCTGGGTTATTCGATCTTTTCAATTTTACGATTTTCCAGTTTCTCGATTTTTTGATGTTTCGATTTTTCAATGTTCCAATTTTTCAACTCTTCGATATTTCGATTTCCCGGTTTTTCGATTTTTCTGGGTTTCGGATTTTCGATTTTCCAATTTTTCGATGTTTCAATTTTTCAACTTTTGACGTTTCCAAAATTTCGATTTTTCGATTTTTGAATTTTTCGACTCTTCGATTTTTCAAGTTTTTAATTTTCAATATCTCAATTTTTAAAATTTTCAACTTTTTTTTATTTATAGATTTATAGATGTTTCGATTTTTCGATTGTTCAATTTCCCATTTAATCGATTTTTCACTGTTTCAATTTTTGTTAAATTTAAAATTTCTCAATTTTTCAAGTTTTAATTTTTCGATTTTATACTATTTCCATTTCCCGATTTTTCGACTTCTTGATGTTTCGATTTCTCGGTTTTTCGATTTTTCGAATTTTCGATGTTCCAGTTTTTCGATGTACTCGATTTTTGGATTTTTTAAATTTTGAATTTTTTGATTTCTCGATTTCTCTTTTTGTTATTTTTCAGTTTTTCGGTTTTTCTATTTTAAGATTTTTTTAATGTTTCGACTTCCCTATTTTTTTAATTATTAATATGTATTTCAATTTCTTCTTCGATTTTATTCGATTTTTCAGTTATTCGATTTTTGGCTTTATCATTTTTTCTGTATTTCAGTTATGGAATTTTTGAACATATATTTAAATTCTTCAAATTTTTGATTTTCCGTTCAGATTTTTCGATTTCTTGATTTCTCGATTTTTTACTTTTTCAAATTTTTAAAAGATGAATTAATTTAAAAAAAAATTTTATTTTTTCGAATTTTCAATTTTTCGACTTTCCGATTTCTGGAATCTTTTATTTTTCCTTTTCTCGGTTTCTCGACTTTCCAATTTTTCAATTCCTCAATTTTTCGATTTTTGAATTTTTTAACTTTTCAATTTTTCAGGTTTTTGATATTCCAATTTTTAAAATTTTTGGCTTTTCGATTTCTCGACTTTTTAGTTTTTGGGTTCTTCGATTTTTCGATTTATCAATTTTTCGACTTCTGGATTTATCGAGTTTTCGATGTCCCAATTTTTCAATTGATAATTTCCAGATTTTTCGATTTTTCAATTTTTCGATTTCTCGATGGTTCAATTTTTTGATTTTTCGACTTTTCGATTTTCCAATTTTCAATGTTTCGATTTTTCAATTTCCCAGTTTTTCGATTAAATTTTTCAATTTTTTGATTTCTGGATTTATCGTTTTTTTTTTATTTTACAGTTTTTCGATCTTTTAAATTTCTACATTTTTGTATTTTTCAATTTTTTGCTTTACGATTCCTGGATATTTCGACTACCTACCTTACTTTTAAAAATTTTTAATATTACAATTTTTCGAATTGAAGGTTCCTCGATATTTCGGTCTTTCGGTTTTTAAAATTTTTCGATTTTTCGATTTCTCAATTTTTCAACATTTCAGTCTTGGGAATTTTCAGTTTCTCGATCTTCAGTTTTTCGATTCGATTTTTCCATTCTTCAAATTTTGAATTTTTTTGAATTTTCGATTTCTCGTAATTTTTTTATTTCTGTTTCTCGATTTTTAAAATTTCTACATTTTTCAATTTTCCTGTTGTACAGTTCTTTGATGTTTTGAGTTCCTTATTTCTTAAAATTTTTAAATTTTTCGATTTTTCGATTTTTCGAATTTTTGATTATTCGACACCTCGGTTTTTCAACATTTCAATTCTGAGAATATTTCAATTTCTAGATTTTCCAGTTTTTTGATGTTTTAATTTCTCGTTCGACTTTTCGGATTTCGCTTTTTCAGTTTTTCAATTTGTGGATTTTTCAGGTTTTTGATTTTTTTTAATTTTTTGACTGTCAATTTTTTGTTGCGGTCTTGATATAATATATTCGAATACACAAACGCAACTGACAAACATATAATTTTGCCAAAAAATAATGTATACAGTTTTTATTTTTTGGTGGTGATTTCAACAAAAATTTACTTGGAAATATTTACCTCAAGAAAGCAAAAGCAGCATTTTTGTTAAAAAGAAATAACTAAATGTGGATGTTTCAAAGATCTGAATTCAATTTTAAAACAGAAAATTTGAAACAATATGTAATTCGCAATATATACCTATCTAAGCGACCTTGGTGAGGTCGTTGAAAAATTGTAATCATTATTTTATAAAAATTGTAGATAAAATCACGCAATGGCTGATAACAGTTGACTCAAGAGCTTGTTTAAGAATCAAAAATTATTCAGAGTTTTATCTGTTTTTCTCAACATAGAAGTCTGTAAAATTATATGACCTAATAAATATATGTATAAATAAATTCTTCCAAGTATTTAGATGTTTTTTTTTTCTAATTTTCAGTCACTATTATCGCGCTATATTAAGACATGCGTTATACAATGAACCTCATCAATTATTATCACCGCCCTGTTATCACACTTTCTGTGCAAAACCGTGTAAATTGGAACCTGACGAGTCATTTCCGTAAAACAATAGAAATGTTAAGTGCATCAGATTATCAGATAACCGAAAAGTCGAGTTCTCTATCTTAAACACAACCACCGACTTAAAAACTGTATAACACATGAATTATATCCAACGATTCCGCAATAAAAAACCTTATTAACTTTACATAATTGCGAAAATACAAATGCCAAGTGAATCATACCGTAATTACTTGCATGTCCATAAACTTTTAATTTTATTATGTCGAAGACTGCAAGTGGTAATTAAAAGCACATTTAAACATAAACGCACGAAAAAACCACTTTGGCATTTGCCGTGACGTAACTCTAATCACCGAAGTGGCCTGTTTTGGACCTTACCCTAATCTCCCCTAATAACATTTCCTCGATTCTCATTCGGTAATTTTGGCAATGTTTTCAATAAGAAAACGTCGATTTTCACTTTCCGTCGTTTTTTACTAATAATAATAATTATTGATTGTTGCGTAAGCACGAAATTAACTAAAATCGCCCCCGGGAATATTTATAATTAGTAACAGCATGTGTCAGTGTCAATGTCAAAATTAATTGTCACATAACCACACCGCATCGATTTTTTCCATTTTTCGCCCAAAAACCCTCACTCCCCCACCCACAAGTGCCGGAATTTTCGCCCCAAAGTGCTGCGTCACTTCTCCTCCGACAAAAATTGCATCACCAATCCAACTAACCTCAAACTCCGACTTTACTACGCAACTCTTTGTACAATAATTGAGCAAAATTGCGTAATCATGATATAAAAACCGACAAGATAAAACAGTTATTCATTCGCGAGTGTGAGATCGTACAAGTTTTCAGCCGACATGGACATAGGAAGTCACAAAAAGTGTGTAATAAACACCGGAAACATCCTCTCCCTCAACGACATCACGAGAAAATCCGGCCAAAACCCGACGGAAGAAGTAAGACGAACGACCGCAAGCCCGCTATTACTAACCTCAAAAAAAATTTCAGCTCATCGAGGCCATAAATATCACAGTCAAAGAATTCAGAAGCAGCAACTTGGCACCAACACAAAACAGCAAACTGATCATCCACAGGCCCACTGATGACCTCAAGGCTAAAATTGAAGAGCAGTCGCTGGCTGACCTGAAAATAGGCCTGAAAGTGTTTCTGAATGATGATAGTAAAGTCCTGATTCAGGAGGCTGTGGAAGAAGGTACAGCGTATTCCAAACGCGCTCAAATAAACATTTGGTGTTTTAGGGTTTGCAACGCTGAAAGTGCCTTGCGTCCAGAACGTGATCCTTCAGTTCAAAAAAGACAAACTTATCGAGACTGGGGATGACATTAACAGTCTTAAGAAGATATGGGGGGTGTTGGAGGAGTACGTTAAGAACGAGAAAATTAGTCAGATTGGATTGGCGGATGTGGAAGAGGCGACGTTCAGAAACGTGTATGAGTGGGCTACGGTTAAACCCGCCATAATTCAGATTAATTTGGCCACGTGTTGTGTGGTACCCCCGACGTTGCAACAATTTTGCAAAGACAATGACGTCCAACTGTTGACACATAGTGACCCAAGTGGTAAGTAAATTAGTAAAAATTACAACTGAAATACAGGGTGTTTTTCAGAAATTTTGCCAAAAGACGCCGTCGGGGACTCACTGGGTGTACCTTTGCCCGTAAAGTGGATTTCCAGGTTTTTGGTACACATTATCTGCCGAGGAGTTCTTTGTTCCAAAGGCTATCTAATTGGCCTAGGAGAATATTAAGATTTTAGTATTATCACTGATGCATTTAAATTTATATACATGTGGAGCAAGCTGCCTACAAAATGTACGCAGTATTATTATTATTGTGATCACCCAGTGTATTATAGTTTGGCTTTGGCAATAAATGTTTTTATTTTTCCATGAAAGAACGATTTTTATTTGTTGGAAAATTTTTAGCATAGTTAAAATAGCTGAACCTGTGCATACTAGAATTAGTATAGTTGGTTGCCTATCCAATACTATATACAGGGTCATCAAAATTGATTGAGAGAGTTGGTAAACCTGAACTCGAATAATTTGGTTTATTAAGTTGGATAAAAATATTAGCTAGATTCGAAGTTTCAAATTTCAAAACTCTGTGGCGTCTTTTTTCGATTTTTTTTTTGGTAAAAAATATTTGTTGTCAGATTTGTTCCAATTTTTCGAATTTTTAAATTTTGACATTTTTTAGTTTTTTTTATGTTTCAATTCCCGATTTTCCGATTTTTCTACTCCTCGGTTTAAGGTTTTTCGGTTTTTCGATATTTCGATTTTTATAATTCTCGATTTTTCGATTTTTAAAATGTTTTCATTTCTGGATTTATCGAGATTTCGATGTTTCAATTTTTCGAATGTTCAGTTTCTCGATTTTTAGATATTTCGATTTCTGTGTTTTGGGTTTTTCAACTTTTCGTCTTTTCGAGTTTTCCGAATTGTCAATTTTTCGATGTTCAATTTTTCAATTTTCCGATTTCCCAATTTTTGGTCATTTCAGTTTCTCGAAACTTCGGTTTTCCGATTTTTCAATTTTTCTATTTTTTTAAATATGGATGCTTCGATATTTTGATGTCTCGATTTTTAGATTGTCGGTGTTTCGATTTTTCGACTTTTTGGGTTTTCGATTTTAAAATTTTAGATTTTTCAATTTTTTGATGTTTAAAAGTTTTGGTTTTTATATTTTTCATTTTTTTCGTTTTTAAATTTTTGGATTTCTCTGTTTTTCGATTTCTCAATTTTTTCGCTTCTCAATTTAACGAGATCTTTTGAATGTTTAGCTTCTCGATTTTTCGAGTTTCCAATTTTTCAATTTTTAATTTTTCGGTTTTGGCCTATTCTGATTTCTCAATTTTTCGATTTTTCGATTTCTCGGTCTTTTGACTTTTTGGGTCTTGGATTTTCCGAATTTTTAGTTTTTCTATGTTCGATTTTTTCATTCTTCGTTTTTCCAATTTGTAGTCTTGAAATTTTCAGTTTTTTGAATCTTCAGTTTTCCGATTTTTCAATTTTTCGATTTTTCGATTTCTCGGTTTTCGGTTTTTCGACTTTTCGCTTTTACCATTATTCACTTTTGCGATTTTAGATTTTTTAATTTTTCGATTTTTTGATGTTTCGATTTTTCGATTGTTCCATTTCTCGATTTCTTAAGTTTCCGATTTTTTTTAAGTCTAAATTTTTCAGTTTTTCTTATTTTGGATGTCTCGATTTTTCGATTTCTTGCCTTTTCGGGTTTTCGAATCTTAAAATTTTAGATTTCTCAATTTTTCAATTTTTCGATGTTTAAAAGTTTTGGTTTTTTCGATTTTTCAATTTTTCAGTTTTTCGATTTCTTAATTTTTGCATTTCTCGATTTATCAAAATCTTTCGAATGTTCAGTTTTTCGATTTTTCGAGTTTCCAATTTTTTTGGTTTTTAAATTTTTCAATTTTTCAATTTTTAAGTTTTCGGTTTTGGGATATTTTGATTTCTCAATTTTTCGATTCTTCGACTTCTCGACTTTTTGATCTGATGTTTCAGTTTTTCAATTTTTCGATGTTTCGATTTTTCAATTTTTCGAAAATTCAGTTTTCCGATTTTTCAATTTTTCGATCTTTTAATTACGGAGTTCTCGATTTCTCGATTTTCGATTTGATGACTTTTTTTGATTTTGCGATCAAAAAGATTTTAGCGATTTCAATTTTTCGCTTTTTTGATGTTTCGATTTTTCGTTTGTTCCATTTCTCGAATTTTTTTTTGAGTTTAAATTTTTCAGTTTTTCAATTTTTCGTGTCGATTTTTGGATTTTTCGGTATTTCGATTTTTGATTTTCGAGTTTTTGATCTTTACATTTTAGATTCTTCAATTTTTCGATTTTGACGTTTCGATTTTTCGATCTTCCGATTTTTCGACTTTTCGGTTTTTCAATTTTTCGATTTCTACATTTATCGAGATTTCGATTGTTTTTCATTTTTTCGACTGTGCAGTTTTTCGAATTTTCGTTTTTTCAAGTTATCGATTTGTCTTTGAATTTTAAATTTTTCGATTTTTAGCTTTCCAATTTTTCGATTTTGGGCTATTTCGATTTCTTAATTTTTCGACTTTTCGTTTTCTTGATCTGATGTTTCAGTTTTTCAACTTTTCGATTTCTCGGTTTTCGACTTATCAGCTTTTCGATTTTCCGAATTTTCAATTTTTCGTTGTTCGATTTTTTAATTCTTCCTTTTCCCAATTTTTCGCCATTTTAGTCTTGAAATTTTCAATTTTTTGAAACTTCAGTTTCCCCATTTTTTAATTATGGTGTTTTCGATTTCTCGGTTAACCATTTTTGGATTTTTCGATTTTCGATTATTCAAATTTGCGGTTTTTAGGTTCTAGATTTTTCAATTTTTCGATTGTTCCATTTCTCGATTTCTTAAGTTTCCGATTTTTTTAAGTTTAAATTTTTCAGTTTTTCGATTTGCGGATGTCTCGATTTTTCGATTTCTTGGTATTTCGATTTTCCGAGTTTCCAATTTTTTGAATTTTAAATTATTCAATTTTTCAATTTTTAGCTTTTCGGTTTTTGGCTAGTTTGATTTCTCGGTTTTTCGATGTTTCGATTTCTCGGTTTTTCGATTTTCTAATCCTCGGCTCTTCGATTTTCCGAATTTTCAATTTTTCAGTGTTCGATTTTTTAATTCTTCGATTTCCCAATTTTTCGTCATTTCAGTTTTGAAATTTTCGTTTTTCGAATCTTTAGTTTTCCGATTTTTTTAATTATGGATTTTTCGATGTCTCGGTATTGCGATTTTTGGACTTTTCGAGTTTTCGATCCTTCAATTTTAGATTCTTCAGTTTTTCGATTTCTCGATTTTTTAATTTGTCGAGTCTTCAAATTCTCTATATTTTCGTTTTTCAATTATTAATATTTTACATTTTTCAATTTTTCGAATTTTAGATTTGTTCGATTGGGTATAGGGTGCGCATCGACCAAGCCGATTCGTACAAACGTTAAAATCGTTTCCAACTTTGCAAGAAGGCAACTTTCGTATCCGCAACTGATTCAGGTGAGTTCTACAATCAACCCCCCAGTTCTCTTGTCACGCCACTGAATTCATTGCCACATAACCTTAAATAAATCTGTCATAAGGTTGACAAACTTCACGGCAAAAACAGGGAGTACCAACTCTCTTAATCAATTTTGATGACTCTGTATATACATCCAATCTTGTATTGACGTCGTAATTTGTTTTAAAAGGGTTTCCTAGATTTCAAAATTGAATCTACCGTTTCCGTGGTTTTAGGCACTTCCGACCTCCCCATCTGTCATTTGTCACTATAACGCGCGCTTTTTTCAACCTCAACCACAAGATTATCACCAGCGCAGAAACTCCGCATTATCAATTCGCTTCCATTATCACCACCAGCCTCGACCATCGTGATAACACCGAGAATGAGGTAAGCAAAATTAATCCGCGTTCATTTTGAACTGCGTCATCCGTCAAACCAACTGTCAATCTTGTCATTCCAATTCTCGCGCAAATCGCCAAAAACCGACGAAAAACTTAATCGTAATGCCCGTGGACATTCCCGGTTTTATATACGCGGGGGCGGTGGCCGCCGGCGGCATTTTGGGCTACTACAGAGCAGGTAACATTTTGAGGTTATGTTGTCGAAAAACGCTGCGTTTTGTTTGTATACAGGGTCGATCCCGTCGCTGGCGGCGGGGTTGCTGTTCGGGGGCGCGCTAGCGTATGGGGCGTACCAGGTGAGCCAGGACCCCGCCAACTACTCCGTGCAGTTGGTCACCAGCTCGATATTGGCTGGAGTCATGGGGTACAGGTTTTACAATTCGGGGAAGGTGATGCCCGCCGGGGTGGTGTGTGCACTGTCTGGGGTGATGATAGTGCGCATAGCGCTCAAGGCCGCGGGCCTGACGGAGAGGAAAGTTACATAAGTTGGGCTACGTGGTGTTCCTTTGTCTACGTAGGTCTTCCTTTGTCTTCGGTGTAGGTATTAAAATGTGGCAAATCCGATATATATGTAAGGATGAATTGTTTTTGACGGTTATTTTGTTTAATAAATGTTGTTCTCGCTAAGGGGTTTTTTAATACCAGTCTTTTCATTCCATTATCGCATTATCAATCATCGCGTTTTTCAAAATAGAATTCACTCTCCATTTTACAGTAAATAAAATAAGTTAGTGAAATGTTAGTTTTTTCTACACCCCTTTTTCATTCTAGTGACTACTCTTGTTATTGTTCAGACTTATCTTAGCAAATACTAGCCCCACCCACCCACCCTCTATTTTCTTAGAGGGTATATAATTTCGTCGCTTGAGAACTGGTTTGATCTACAGACCAGAGCGCACTCAAGCCAATGTCGACTCTAAAAGCGTTCAGAAACGATCTGATCTATAAGCCGTGATCTGCTACACATCCTAAGTGAACATTTTGGTAGGTACCCGTGTTAATTATTGACATGCAACTATTTTTTGTTTGGTACTAAAAAAAAATAACAAGACTGTTGGGATCGTTATCATGCAATCGATTTTTTTCGGAAGAGTGTAGTTATTTTTATCTTTTGGAAACGTTTGGACTTACTTTGCATGAATTTTTAATTATTTTATTTATCGACTTCACGTTTTTGATTTCTGGATTTCTCAATTTCTCAAATTTTTTATTTCTCAGTTTTGGGATTTCTTTCATTTTTCAATTTCACGATTTTCAATTTTCGATTTCTTAATTTTCCGATGTTTCAGTTTTACGTTTTTAAAATTTTTCTCCTCTTCAGTTTTACGATTTTTTTTTTAAATATTTCTATTTTTCAATTTTGACTTATCCAGTTTTTCGATTTTTCAATTAATCAATGTTTGAATTTTTCACTTTTCAGGTTACTGATTTTTCAAATTTTGGATTTTTTTTATTGTTTCGCTTTTTCGACTTCAGTTTTTTGATTTTTCGATTTTTCAATTTTTTAGATTCTCAGTTTTGGGATTTTTCAGTTTTTCCATTCTTCACTTTTTCTTTCATTTTTCGATATTTCCGTTTTGGGATTTTTTAATATTTCGATTCTTCGAGTTTTCGATTTTTGACTTCTGGATTTTTCGATGTATCGATTTTGTAACTTTTTCGATTTTTCAATTTTTCGATTTTTAAATTTTAGATTTTTCGGTTTTTTGATATTTTAATTTTTCAATTTTAAAAATTTTTGATTTTTCAATTGTCGATTTTTCATTTCAGTTCTCCGATATTCCAATTTTTCATGTTTCCGAATTTTTCAACTGTTTCGATTTCATTTTCGATTTTTCGACTTCCTTGTTTTTGATTTTCTCTTTTTCAGTTTTTCGATTTTTTAATTTTCATTTTTTAAATTTTTCAATGTTTTGATTTCCCGATTTATCGAGATTTAGATGTTTCGATATTTTGATTGTTCATTTTCTCGATTTAACAGTTTTTCAATTTATAACTTTTCGATTTTTTATTTTGGCCTATTCGGCTTCCCAGTTTCTCTATTTTTCCGTTTTTTAGTTTTTTTTATTTTTCCGCTTTTAGATTTTTCAGTTTTTCAACTTTTAACTTTTCGATTTTGGCCTATTTCGGGTTCTCAGTTTTTCGATTTTTTGACTGAATGACTTCGATTTCTCGATCTTTTGATCTTTCGATTTCTCAATATTTCAATATTTCCATTTTTCGCATTTTAAAATTTTTTGATTTCTCGATTTATCGAAACTAGGATGTTTCAATGTTTTGATTGTCCAATTTCTCGATTTACCAATTTTTCAATTTTTAACTTTTCGAGTTTTCGAGTTTGGCTTATTTCGGTTTCTCAATTTTTCGACTTTTCGACTTCAGGATTTCTCGATCTTTTGATTTTTTGATTTTTCGGTTTTTCGCTTTTTTACTTTTCGGTTTTTAGATTTTCCAGTTTTTCGATGTTTCGATTTTTCAATAATCTGATTTTTCTCAATCCTTCAATTTCACGATTTTCAATTTCTCATTTTTTCGATATTTCAGTTTTACATTTTAAAATTTTTCTCCTCTTCAATTTTACGATTGTTAAATATCTCCATTTTTCAATTTTTCAAATTGACTTTTATAATAACTCTCAGTTTCTCGATTTTTCATTTCTTCAATTTTTTAGTTTTTTGATTTTTTAATTTTTCAATTTTTAAGGTTTTGATTTTTTGACTTTTTGATTTCTCAATTTTTCAGTTATTATGTAATTTTTCAATTTTTCTAAATTTCAGTTTCGGAATTTTTCAGATTATGTATTATTTAATTTCTCGATTTTACAGTTTGTCAATTTTTCAATTTTTCGATTTTCAATTTTTTGATTTCTCAATTTTCCGATGTTTCAGTTTTACGTTTTTTCAATTTTTCTCCTCTTCAATTTTACGATTTTTCAATATTTCGATTTTTAAAATTTTTAATTTTTGACTTTTCTAAATTCTCAATTTTTCAATTAATCGATGTTTTGATTTTCCCTTTTCTTGACTTTTGACTGTTTCGAATTTCCAGTTCTCCAATTCTTCGATTTTCCAGGTTTCTGATTTTTTAATTTTTGGATTTTTTTTAAAGTTTCGATTTTTCCACTTCACTTTTTTGATTTTTCGATTTCTCAATTTTTCAGTTTTTTAGATTCTCAGTTTTTGGATATTTCAGTTTTCCCCACTCTTCAGTTTTTTTTTCATTTTTCAGTTTTGAGTTTTTGGATATTTCAGTTTTTCCATTCTTTAGTGTTTTTTGGGATTTTTCAGTATTTCGATTCTTCGACTTTTTGATTTTTAATTTTTGGATTTCTCGGTGTCGATTTTTTTACTTTTTCGATTTCTCGATTTTTCATTTCAGTTTTTCGATATTTTAATTTTTCAAATGTTTCGATTTCTTAATCTTTCGATTTTTCGACTTCCAAGTTTTAGATTTTGTTTCTCAATTTTACGTTTTTTCAAATTTTCAATTTTTTAATTCTTAATTTTTAAAATTTTCGATTTTTCAATGTTTTGATTTCCCGATTTATCGAGATTTGGATATTTCGATATTTTGATTGTTCATTTTCTTGATTTAACAGATTTTCAATTTTTAACTTTTCGATTTTTTATTTTGGCCTATTTGATTTGTCAGTTTTCCCATTTTTCAGTTTTTTCGGTTTTGCTATTTTTCCGCTTTTAGATTTTTCAATTTTCCAATTGTGCCACTTTTAACTTTCCATTTTTTCGATTTTGGCCTATTTCGGTTTCTTAAATTTTCGATTTTTTGATTTCTCGATGTATCGAGATTTGGGTGCTTCAATATTTTGATTGTTCAATTTCTCGATTTTGGCCTATTTCGATTTCTCAGTTTTTCGGCTTTTCGACTTCACGATTTCTCGATCTTTTGATTTTTCGATTTTTACTTTTCGGATTCTCGGTTTTTCGATTTTCCAGTTTTTAGATGTTTCGATTTCTCAATTTTCTGATTTTGCAGTTTTACGTTTTTAAAATTTTTCTTTTTAATTTTACGATTTTTAAAATATTTCGATTTTTCAATTTTTCAAAATTGACTTTTATAAAGTCTGTTTTTCGATTTTACATTTCTTCGATTCTTCAATTTTTCAAGTTTTTGGTTTTTGATTATTTAATTTTTCGATTTTTGAAGGTTTTGATTTTTTGATTTTTTGGTTTCTCAATTTTTCAGTTTTTCCATTCTTCAGTTTTTCTTTCATTTTTCAATTTTTCGAAGTTTCAGTTTTGGAATTTTTCAGATTATCATTCAATTTTTCGATTTTACAATTTTTCGATTTTCAATTTTTCGATTTCTCAATTTTCCAATGTTTCAGTTTTGCGTTTTTTCAATTGTTCTCCTCTTCAATTTTACGATTTTTAAATATTTCGATTTTTCATTTCTTCAATTTTTCAATTTTTAGGTTTTTGATTCTCAGTTTTTCAAATTTTAAAAGTTTTAATTTTTTGACTTCACTTTTTGGATTTTTTGATTTCTCACTTTTTCAATTTTTCAGTTTTTCCATTCTTCAGTTTTTCTTTTATTTTGCAATTTTTCGAAATTTTTGTTTTGGAATTTTTCAGATTATTCATTATTCAATTTTTCGATTTTACAATTTCTCAGTTTTTCAATTTCTCGATTTTCAATTTTTCTCCTCTTCAATTTTACGATTTTGAAATATTTCAATTTTTCATTTTTCGACTTTTCTAAACTCTCAATTTTTCGATGTTTTTATTTTCCTTTTCCCTGACTTTCGGCTGTTTCGATTTTCCAGTTCTTCAATTCTTCGATTTTTCAGGTTTCTGATTTTTCAATTTTTGGATTTTTTTTTAGATTTTTCGACTTCACTTTTTCAATTTTTCGATTTCTCAATTTTCCGATGTTTCAGTTTTGCGTTCTTTCAGTTTTTCTCCTCATCAATTTGACGATTTTTAATTATTTCGATTTTTCATTTCTTCAATTTTTCAATTTTTAGGTTTTTGAATTTTCAGTTTTTCAAATTTTTAAGGTTTTAATTTTTTGACTTCACTTTTTGGACTTTTTGATTTCTCAATTTTATAATTTTTCAGTTTTTCCATTCTTCAGTTTTTCTTTTATTTTGCAATTTTTCGAAATTTTTGTTTTGGAATTTTTCAGATTATTCATTATTCAATGTTTCGATTTTACAATTTCTCAGTTTTTCAATTCTCGATTTTCAATTTTTTGATTTTTCAATTTACCGATGTTTCAGTTTTACGTTTTTCAATTTTTCTCCTCTTCAATTTTACGATTTTGAAATATTTAAATTTTTCAGTTTTTGACTTTTCTAAATTCTCAATTTTTCGATGTTTTTATTTTCCCTTTCCTCGACTTTCGGCTGTTTCGATTTTCCAGTTCTTCAATTCTTCGATTTTTCAGGTTTCTGATTTTTTAATTTTTGGATTTTTTTTACATTTTTCGACTTCACTTTTTCAATTTTAGGATTTCTCAATTTTCCGATGTTTCAGTTTTGCGTTTTTTCAATTTTTCTCCTCTTCAATTCTACGATTTTTAAATATTTCAATTTTTCAGTTTTTGACTTTCCTAAATTCTCAATTTTTCGATGTTTTGATTTTCCCCTTTCCTTGACTTTCGGCTGTTTCGATTTTCCAGTTCTTCAATTCTTCGATTTCTCGATTTTTCAGGTTTCTGATTTTTCAATTTTTGGATTTTTTTTCAATTTTTCGACTCCACTTTTTTAATTTTTCGATTTCTCAATTTTTCAGAGTTTTAGTTTCTCACTTTTAGGATATTTCAGTTTTTCCATTCTTCAGTTTTTCTTTCATTTTTCAGTTTTTCGATATTTCAGTTTTGGGATTTTGGTCTATTTCGATTTCTCAATTTTTCGACTTTTCAACTTCATGATGTCTCGATCTTTTGATTTTTCGATTTTTGCTTTTCGGATTTTCGGTTTTTTGATTTCTCAAATTTTCAATTTTTTAATTTGTCAGTTTTTCCATTCTTTATTTTTTCGAAATTTCAGTTTTCGAATTTTTCGGAATATTTATTATTCAAAATCAGTCTTATCTTTACAAGTGCAAGCCCTACCAACCCGTCCTTTATTTTCTTAGAGGGTATGTCATTCGTCAAAATCAGTCTTATCTTAGCAAGTACTTTATAGTACCGGAAATATTAAATGTGACCTTCACAAGAAACATGTGCTTAGGGGTATAGAAAATTCAATTTTTTAGAGTAGAGATTAGAGGTGGCCATGGAAATATTTGTCATGTCTTTGATTAAACTGTAAAGGTCAGACATAACCTCATTTGTATTTCAATAATTGACATTTACAGTTTAATCAAAAAAGACATGACAAATATTTCCATGGCCAACTCTAATCTCAAAGCTTTTTGATCACCAGGTATTAATTTAATCGATGTCTTCACCTACTTTGCTGCCATTGAGCACTAATTCACTGGTACGTGGGGTAAAAAATCTCGTTGTGGCTATTGGTTTTTTAATACTCACTATAATACACATTTATTTTACAGTGGCGTCCTACTTAATTACTATAATTTACAAAGGTGGTAGGAACTTAACTACGAATTCTTTAGGTTTTATTTTTTTAAATAACAACAATTGTAAAAATTTTGCTTATTACAAAATTGCACTCTGCCTTTTCGATAAATATAGTACATTTATAAATAGGTCATCACAATACGTGTTCTAATGATGCTATGAATTGGCAGTATATTTAAACATACGCACTATTTACATTACAAATATAGCAAATATTCTATGGTACTACGGCTACTATTAATTTAACAATACGTGTTGAAAGTCCATTTTCATCATCACTTCGCTAAGGCACTAAACTGTCCACAGGTGGGGCTTTCTGGACACACCTTAAAACTTACGTATTTGTTTGATTTGCAGCGCTTTCGGCCAGTTTTCCTAACTGAAAAAACACAAAAAAATTAAAAGTGAACACAGTCAGATTAAATTTAGTTTCCAGAATTATATAGGCGTTTGCACGAGTTTCCAAGACTTTAAGATACGTGTTTTCTAACCAAGAGGAACGTTGTTCACACGTGCAATATAGCCTATATGTGTCTGGTTTTGATGAGAAATAAGGAACACAATACAGAGAAAAATGGAAAATATATGTAGCTACTCCGATGAAGATCTACCAAGACAGTGATCAAGTGTGTTGGTGTCAGTCCAAGTAGTCCAGGAAAGGAGTAGTGTGATAAAGTCATGGTTTGTGTTAATAGCGGCGTATTCAGTATTTTTTTTTTACAAAGGCACCGAAGGGGAAAGTCGCTTTCACGTTGAACAAAGAGTAGTCCGAAGAATGAATACAGAACCACGTTACAGGAAAAGTAAAAAGTTCATGCTGATTAAGAGATTAATCACGACGACTAACAGGGATGACGTATGACGGATGGTGATCTCTTACCCTTATCTCCCCCTACTACCCAGGGCGCTTTTATTTCTCACATTACTACTATCGCTGAAATAACTAGCCGGGTTATACGACCGCTTTAGATCGTTATTACTAATATCGTAAGTGTTTCTTCCAAAATTAGCGAAATCGTAAGGGCTCTTAGTCGTCTGCCGCCTCAACTGATAATAATTCCCCACGTAGGGGTTGGGGGTGGTTTGGCCGAAGTAGCTCTTCGTGCCTTGATAGGGGTTTTGACTCGTGAAATGGCGGGCGAAACTGTTAAAATCGTAGGGGGACTTGGTGGTCGAAAAGGGGCTGTTGAATCTCGAAGGGGTGAAGTGGTGGAACGGGGACTGGGTGGAATAGGGGTGTGTTGTGTAATCATTGTGTGAGTTTGGCGTTTCCTCTTCGTCCTCGTGGAACCTGTTCCAAGTGTAAATCATGTTAATCGTGCCACAAACAAGCGGTGTTAATCGGCAATGAAACTTACAAAGGCCGACCCTGGTTGTTTCCGTTTCTGATGTAAGACGGCGTGTTCTGGGTGTAGTCGGGTATGATGTTCTCGTGCTCGGCCACGCAGCGCCCGTTGAGGCAGTACTGCAAAAGAGGGGAGTTAGTGCTTGAATGGGTGCGATTTTGGCGTACCTGTCCATCGCCGCACGGCGACCCTTCGGCCGCGGGTCGATACGCCACGCAGTAGCCGCTACCAGCGTCGAAGCAGAAGAGCTGGGCGCAGACCCTGTCGTCTTTCTGTAACGATAAATTGGTATAAAGTGTCTTTGGGGGTGGGGCGACGTACGAAACAAGCGCTGGTTCCTCGGTCTCGGCGACACTGGGCGTCCAGGGTCAGGAGCTTGCCGGGGAGCACCCGTGGGAGGCTGTCGTCTTCGTGAGGGACGTTGTAGAGGCACGTCGCCGTGTCCCCACTGAGAAAAAAATGCGATCAAATTTAGAAAGGGTCCAAAATCAGTAACATTTTTGAGTTATTTAATTCATTTTTGAACGGATCCAAAAATAATGAAAAAAATTGTGTGTGGTCAGCAATGACACATCTATCAGGGGAAACTTACTTACTTCCAAAGTCTATAGGAACACTGGTTTTCCAAAGATTTGGGATCAAGTTTTTTAAAATCTCAAAAATTGACATTTAATTTTGGCAATTTTGGAAAATTGGTAGGAATTTTCAAAGAAATTAAACGACTTCTGGAGGTAAAAATGAACAAAATAATCTTTTTGGGTAATTTTCGAAAGTGTATGTGTCACATAAATACGCAGCTTTTGAATGAAGAAGATATTAAATGGTATAGTTGCGATAAGTGTCTAAAGCCAAACACAAGTTGCAGTTAAAAATCCATATAAATGTCGACCATTTGGACGAAAAGGATATTAAATGGTATGAATGCAAAGAGTGTCCATATAAAACCAAATATAGCTCGAATTTGAACTCCTACGTAAATTTACACCATTTAAATGAGGAGAATATTGTAAATTCGGTCGTATTTCTAGTTTTATGAGCAAATAGTAGCCCCAACCACCCACCCCTTCTTCATTCCAGTAACTACTCTTAATATTGTTCAGTTCTATGTTAGCAAGTTTTAGCCCCGCCCACCCACCCTCTCTTTTCTTAGAGGGTATGGCATCTACCAAAATCAGTCTTATCTTATCAAGTACTAGCCCCGCCCATCCACCCCCTATTTTTTTAGATGGTATGTCATCTGCCACAATCAGTCTTATCTTAGTACTAGCGAATTATGTTCTTCTGTCGACTGGGAGTGGAACTAATAATAGAATCTAGGGCGTGAAAAAAGTAATAAAATTTATATCTTATTCATCTAACCTGATTTAAGCTAATGTGATCTGACCTGTCCTGACTTCTCTATTGTCCCAAATAAACAAATTTTAAACATTTCTGTATAAATATATAAAATCTACAAAGTACATTATTTAAACAATTGTATTTTGTGAAACAAAAATTAATAATAACTTCCTTATTTATTTGCAAAATTTTTATACCGAGCTATTTTGACGAAACTGTAAACTACTATATTTCAATTAGCGATTTTCGAAAAACGGTGGGAATTTTCGAAGAAAGGAAGCCGAAAATGACTTCTGGATACGAAGTGTACAAGAAAATTTCGAAAATCGTTGAAAAATGGTCGAAAATGTCAAAAGTGCCAAAATCAGTCATTCTACTGACTATTCTTAATATTGTTCAGTTCTATCTTAGCAAATTTTAGCCCCTCCCACCCAGCCTTTATTTCCTTAGCGGCTTATGTTATTTATCAAAATCAGTCTTATCTTATCAATACTAGCCCCGCCCACCCACCCTCTATTTTCTTAGAAGGTATGTCATTTGCCAAAATCAGTCTTATCAAAACTAGGCCCGCTCACCTCCTCCCTCTCTTCATTCTAACGACTAATTTTATTTCTGTTCAATATAGTAGATAGTGAAATATGCTCTATAATTTCTCTATTGTTTTATTTTTTATTTTCTATTACATAAAAGGTAAATGGTGGGATATATATTTTGTTTTTTTCTATTGTACTATCCCTATTATTGATAGTTTATTTATTTAATGTAATTTACTTTACTTTACTTTTCTTTTTATTTGGTATGCTAAACGTGCTTTTTATTTATATTTTTTGGTATATATTACTATTTTTGTCTTCTTTTATTTTTAATTTGTTTTATTGGAAATTGTCCAGTAAGTGGAATATTTGTTCTGTTGGACAATAAATTATATTATTATTATTATATAAGATCATTTCTTTCAGATCAGATAAAATCAATCACTGAAAAGGAGACAGGGTGGGTGGGCGGGGATAATTATGTTCTTGTGTCGAGTGAGAGTGGAAACTAATACATAATAGAATCTAGGGTGTGAAAAAATAAAAAAAAAAAACGGAAATCGTAAATTTTTTTGTTCTACTAATTGCTCTAAAATTTATTTCTTATTCACCTGACCTAACTTAACTTATCTGACTTATCCTGTCTTCTCTATTGTCCCAAATAAACAAATTTTAAACATTTCTGATAAATATATAAAATCTACAAAGTACATTCTTTAAACAAGTGTATTTTGTGACACAAAAATTAATAATAATGTATTTATCTACAAAATTTTTATACCGAGCTATTTTGACGAAACTGTAAAAACTGCTATATTTCAATTAGCGATTTTCGAAAAACGGTGGAAATTTTGGAAGAAACGAAGCCGAAAATGACTTATGGATACGAAATGTACAAGAAAATTTCGAAAATCGTTGAAAAATGGTCGAAAATGTGAAAAGTGCCAAAATCAGTCATTCTAGTGACTATTCTTAATATTGTTCAGTTCTATCTCAGCAAATTTTAGCCCCGCCCACCCACCCTTTATTTTCTTAGCGGCTATGTTATTTACCTAAATCAGTCTTATCTTATCAATACTAGCCCCGCCCACCCACCCTCTATTTTCTTAGAAGGTATCTCATTTGCCAAAATCAGTCTTATCAAAACTAGGCCCGCTCCCCACCTCTCGACGAAGAATTGCTTTTTTATTTTTTCAGTATATAACTTCGATTTTTCAATTTTGAACTATTTTGATTTCCCAGTTGTTGGATTTTTCAATTTCTCGATCGTTTGATATTTCGATTTCTCGCCTTTCCGACTTTTCGCGTTTTTTTAATTTCTTGATTTATTGATATTTCAATGTTTGGATTTTTTGATTGTTCAGTTTGTCGGTTTTTCGATTTTCCAATTTTTCACTTTTATTTTTAATTCTAAATTTTTCAATTAATAACTTCGATTTTTTGTTTTTAGCCAATTTTGATTACTCAATTTTTCCATTTTTTGATTTTCGATTTTTCGGTTTTTTCTGTCTTAGAATTTTCGGTATTTATTTTATATTATATATTTTATTTATTCCGGTTTTAGAATTTTTCACTTTTTAGTCCTATATTTTTCGATTTTTCATTTTCTCGATTTTCAGTGTTTCGATTATTCAGTTTTTCGATATTTCACTGTTGCCATTGTATTTATAAAAAATTTTTTCTTTTGTAAGCAATTTCGAAACTTACCCAGATTTTTTTTATTCTGGATATTTTCGCCCACATTTCTTTGAAATTTCAATCACTTCTCCATTTTTGGGATATTTTGAAAATTTGATTTTGGATTAGAAAATTTTGAAAATCTTAATCTGAACCATATGTCCCAGAATGTTTTGTAGACTTTTACGTTACGTTGCCAAAAGCTCAATTTTTGATTTTTTTCCAGCGCTTTAGAAAATTATCTAAAGACATTTTTTGTTCACTTTCACTTCCAGAAGCTATTTTCGGCCACATGTTTTCGAAATTTCAACCACTTTTCTCTAATCACCAAAATGAAATAGCCATTTGGAATATTGAATTGAATTTTTTGAATTGAATTAACTTTATTGATGTATAGGACATAAAACATATTTTACACAAGTCACAAATACCATTATAAACTTAGATACACTACATTATAGTTCACATTAAACATCTTAAGATAAAATACACATTCATTAAAACAAAATATAAATCAAGAATATTTTGGAAATTTGATTTTGAAACAGAAAATTTTCAAAATTTTGATCTGTACCCATCAAAAGCTACGTTTTTCGAATCAACTCGTCGATATCCACAATATCCCATAATTTATTATGGATTTTAATGCAAACTTTGCTAAAAGCTCAATTTATCAATATTTTCATGGAATGTTTTATTTTTTTTCCAAGCATTTTAGAAACTTATTCAGACATTTTTTTATTAACTTCGACTTTCAGAAGTCATTTTCGGTCACATTTTTTCGAAATTTCAATTAGTTACCTAAAATAAAATATGGGCATTTTTGGGATATTTTGAAAATTTGATTTTAAAACAGAAAATTTCGAATATCTTGCTCTGGGTCATCAAAGGCTACATTTTTTTAATTAACTCCTCAGTGTCTACACTATCCCAAAATTTTTTGTGGACTTTTATCCAACTTTGTCAGAATTTCAATTCTTCAATACTTTGTATACCTAATGATGTTTTTTATTTTTTACGAGGACTTTAGAAAACAATCCAGACATTTTTTTTTTGTTAATTTCGACTCACAGAAGTCATTTTCTGCCACATTTTTTCGAAATCTTAATCACTTTTCCATAATCACCAAAATTAAATATGGCCATTTTAGGGATATTTTGAAAATTTGATTTTGAAACGGAATATTTCTAAAATTCTGGTCTGGGCTCATCAAAGCCTACGTTTTTCGAATCAGCTCGCCTCCATCCCATAATTTTTTGTGGACTTTTATGCAACTTTTCTATTTTTTCGGTGTACTTTAGAAAATTATCCAAAGATATTTTTTACTTCCCGAGCGTAAGCAAAGGAAGTATTGTAATCGAGTCCGTCGGCCGACTCTCTACTTTTACGTTTTCTCGATCTTTCATGACCCCTAGAAGACGAAGAAATAGGTCTCCCATTTCCGTCTGTCTGTCCGTCTGTCCGTCTGTCCGTCCGTCTGTCCGTCTGTCCGTCTGTCCGTCTGTCCGTCTGTCCGTCCGTCTGTCCGTCTGTTGTCCCGGATTTTTATTAGACAGATAATCTCCGAAAGTACTCGACCGATTGTTGTGAAATTTTGTACTTATATTAAGAATATCATGTAGATGGTAAAACGCTAACCAAAATTTGTCTAATCATCCCCACCACTAATGCGATGACGTCACTTCAAAATTGTACATAGTAAATGGGTTTTCAATTGTATAAAATAACATAGTCCTACACATGTAGTTTACAACTCTGAATCGACTTTTCACCCGAAACGTCCAGATTTTTGAAAAAAAAATCAAAATTATAAAACAACATTTTGAAATTTAATTTTTAAACTGCTAACCAGAATGCTTTGAAATGTTGCAGATGTTTTAAGGCTATAAAGAGCATCATA